TAAATTTTTTACTCTTGTTAGATAATTTGAAAAAAAAAATTTTTTTTTTTTTTTTTTTTTTTTTTTTTTTTTTTTTTTTTGTATTTGCGTCGTTCTGTACTCGCGCCGTCGAAGATCTTCAATTTTGTCGATCGACAATTAAATCAAGCGAGACGTTGTGAAAGGGTTAAGCTAGATCTCTCTCGCAAAGATTCTATGCAGCTGTAAATATTTTGCGTAATTTAACGATAGATGAAGACATATGATCTGAAAACGCTTTCATGAGTGTCTATCACCTGACTGATCAGGAAAGACACTGCTGGATATCCGAGTAACGCACCAGCATGACTGAAGTGATTAATTGCTTTCGCTTGCATGTCTGTCTCGTGAGAAAATACATCCTATGAAGTATCGAGTATTAGCTTTGTTGCATCTACTCTTCTCGATCGAGTATATATATATATGACCGTGTGCGATAACATCGCAATTATATCGCGATATCGTCAACGCGTGCCGCATTGATTTTTTTTTTTTTTTTTTTTTTTAATAATTCAACAAGAACGAAAAATATTCAAGAATTAATTTCTCAACTTCGGTAATTTGGTGTGTGGAGAGATCTTCAAGTAGGCATTCGGGGTGAACTTCGAAGCTCGATTTTTAACGAGTTAACTCCGTCAAAGCGAAGCGCTCGAAGTACGTCAAACTGGAAGTATAAAACCCGTAATCCCGAATACAGAGAAACGAATAAAAAAAAGAAAAAAAAAGAGAAAAAAAAGAAAGCAGCAAACAAGTTGAATATTCTTTCTGCTCGGAACTTCGCGGGCTCACACGGCGGCTCATACGTACTATACATATATCTGCAGTGCTTTCGACGTTAGTTGAATTTCCCAGCCCGCCTCGTTCGAAACAATAGATCTCGACGAAAAATCGATTAACTCGATATCTTTTCTGTCCTCCCATTCCAGAAAGTGCCCCTGTCCCTGCCACCACCACACCGAACGCCATTCGACGGACGTTCAACTCAGGTTAGACTCACGCAGGAGCAGATTCCTCTTCCAAGCTGTTTGAATTTGCTATAGTAGCTTTATTTGCGCCGTGTTTGTTTTAGTTTGTTTTACACGACGTGTAACGCAAAGTGTGTGCGTCCGGACGTTTTTGCGTATATTGGTCAAATTAACGGACCCAGACCCGGGGAAGCGAGAGAGTTTTGTTCGCCAATGAGTTGAGGTCGCGACGTGAGCGGGATGAAACAGAAACGGGTCGTTCTTTGTTTTCGCTTCGTCGTTACGCGAAACATCCGCGGGACGACTCGCGTGTCAAATATTCTCTTTTTCTCTCTCTCTCTCTCGAAAATAAAGCTGACGCTAACTTGCGCTAATTTTCCACCATGATATTGCAGGTCGTAAATATTCCGCGCGTGTGTTAAACGGTTGACCTTGTGCGCAAGAATCGGTTTCGCGCAACGATGAAAAACATCACGAAACACACACACGAGGGTCACACGGTAAAATTTAAACAATTCCTACTCGAACGGCCTCAACTTATCTAATTTTGCAAATCTTGGCTATTAACTGTTTGTTGTTGTTGTTGTTGTTGTTGTTGTTATAGTTTATTGATATGCGTACATGATAAAACCGCATCCCTACGATTTAGAAAAGTAATGACTGTCTTGTATAAACCTCTTTTGTGTATAAGTGCATGTGATTTTTTATATGTGTATATTTACACATTTGTATGTGTATGATAGTTTTAAGATAATTAAAAATTCGAATAAAAAGTGAATTTATATCTTTAACACGCGTCTTTTGTTTGCAAAAATCGTTGATACTTTAATGTGTGCTTCGTAGTGTTTTAAATAAATTTTTGTTCCTTTTTTTCACGCGCTTTTTTTTATACTTTTTTAGAATATCACTGTCTTATTGTTTGCACATAAATGCGTATATATCCCAGATCTAGATTCGTCACTTTACTTAAAAGCTAGAAAGTTTAACGTCTTAATTATTCTGCAAACGAAACTCGAAATATCGCCGCGCGACTCTACCTTGTAGCAACTTTCGAGATAAGTTAAAAGTTTCATACGCGTGTCGTTTATTTTGGTTCGTTTAAACGGCGATGTCTTTAAACTTTTCTTTGTCTCTCTCTCTCTCTCTCTCTTTCTCTCTATCGCGACATGAATAATTTCAATACTTTAGATTGAATCGATAATATACCCGGCGGGAAACTTTAGCACGATGTAATAATTTAGTTAAATTGTTGTCAATGCAAAATTATGTCGTTTTCTTACCGGCGTATAATAATAATTATACTACTTAAAACTGATTACAAAACCAAGCGTGTGTTCGTTGCGTTTAAATTTCCCTCAAAATATTGATAGAAAAAAGATTAATAGAAAAAAAAGAAAACGACAAACGCGCAGACATTTTTTATCGTAATTTACAATTAATAATTTCGCACAAAACGCACGTATTGCGTGTTACGGTTTGTCGAATCTATAAATTGTCGAGGAAGAAAACATCGTCAAAAAATTTCCAAGTATTTTTATTTTTGTACAAAAATAGAAATAGCAAACGAGCGAGAAAATATTTTGTCGCGCATCACTAGCTTATCTCTGCTACGGCGTACAAAAAACCAAAAAAACATTGCGCAACAACTATTATCGCACCGGCAACGTCAGAAAATCATCAATCACGCGAGTGAAAAAAAAAAAAAACAAAAACAAAAAATGAAGTAAAAAATTTTCACCACCGCAGCGCGCAGTTTCGACGCGCAAGTCAATTCTCGCACGATAAAAAGCACGACTTGATGTTTTCCACAGATGGATCCCTAGCTCGTTAATTAGCGCAGGTGGGACACGAACGCGGGATAATTAAGCGTACGGCTTCTAATGTGTGTTGCAGCTGCTCAGGCAACGATCCTGGGGCCCGAGGACGTCTACGTAAAGAAGGGTAGCACAATAAGCCTCACGTGCGAAGTTAATGTGCGAAGTACGCCTCCGAGCAGCGTTTCGTGGCATCACGGAGGAGCTGTGGTGGATTTCGACAGTCCCAGGTACAAGCCGCGAGAATCGAGTTCTCAGTTTCGCACCCTTCCTCTTCTCTCCTCAGATTGCGCGCCTCCAACCCCTTTTCTTCTTTCTCGTCGCGCGCAAACACACGTTCGGATGGTACCGCCCCGCTATCGCATATCAGAAAGAAAATTGTCTTCGCGCGTTGCGACGAGCGGAGAGAAAAGTTTCGTCCGCTTTTTCGAATCGCTGATATCGGCCGATCGAGCGGAACGTTCTGTTCCGTGTCTCTCTTAAATCCTTTCGCGACTCGTCAGCTCGAAGATAGTCGAAAAAGCAAACGAATCTCTTGATCCGACAATTTTCCTTCAATTATAAATATCCAAACAACGTTCTTTGTATAAAATGAAAATAGTTTGTCATTTTTTCTCTCTGCAACAACGGACGAGACACACTTGCGCTCGCGCATTTTGTCGAAAACAAAAAAAAAATTAAAAGAGAATAACACTTTATAATCATGAAACGAGTTCAGGAAGATTTTTTTTGCGGATTTTACTTCAGATTTCCAGCGCGCGTCACGCGTACGTCGGAGTTATAACAAAATGACACCCGATACAAACAAACCGTTTATTTACCACGTCCGTGTCACATCGTGTCAACAAACGTGTCGCCACGTACAATCGACGTCGGCGTCTGTCGGCGACGTTTCGCTCGTGTAAAGCCCGCCTCCGTCTCATTCCCCTGCAGAGAGAACTAATGACAAAGTAGCAATGTGTATGCGAGAATGGCGCCAAAGTATCTGCGACAATTCAGTGTTCACCGCAGGGGCGGCGTTTCCCTGGAGACGGAGAAAACGGATACCGGCACGACGAGCAGACTACTGGTGACACAGGCCAGATTGACCGACAGCGGAAATTACACCTGCATCCCCAGCAACGCGAATCCAGCGAGCGTAATGGTCCACGTGCTGAATGGTAAGCGATTTTTTTTTTTCATCTCGTCACGCGCTGACTTGTCCGGCGGCGGCCTATCGCGAGCACGAGAGCGACTTGTCCCGGATATTCGCGCGCACGTTCTCTTCTCAGGACCCGCCGCTGGGCTTTAATGACATATCGCGACGAAAGCGCGTCCGAATATCCGTGGAAATTTTCAGATAACTCCGCGCGCGTTTCACACACACACACACACAAATACGAAGGAACGGAACACCTCCATATATCACCGAGCATTATCTACCGCCGCGCGCGATAAGTTGCTAAATTTTCAACAAACGCGAACGCGCCACCGCGCGATGAATTTTATTACGACAAAATGCGGCAACCGGAATAATTACAATTTGTTTGAATGAATGTGTATCTCCGCGTTTTTGAACGTGTGTTAGTAGTTTCGTTATTCGTTGATTTTCTAAAGCGCACGTACGAACTCAATTTTCGCCGATACTTGTGCCGCGAAACGCTGCAAGACGTACAAATTGGAAGTTTATTGCTTTGAAGATCAATTAGTTACCATTCAGCAAACACGACATGCCGTTTGCGGACCATTCGAGACTCACGCTCGATAAACAAAGTCGGAGGCAAGTTCCCCTGACGCGTTCCACGTTACAATGTAATTCACTTATGCTAACAAGCTAACCAAATAACAGAAGCGGCAAAGCTGCAATATTTTATCCAAGCGTTGGTGTTCAACGCATTACCGAATATAACTTCCCCTTCCCCGGTGAGTTTACTCGACTACGTAATATAAAAAAATTGAAAAACTAAGAATGAAACAAGGCCGATACGAGCCATTAAAAAAATTGCAACATATCAGGCGGCATATAGAGCGAACGGGATACAAATTTTTGCGATTTGTTTGTGGAAATAAAATTTTGTGCAAAATCATCATACGTCTCGTCGACCGCGATGGTTAAATTTTTCCCTTCTTCATCGCACGTGACTGCTGTTTTTTTTTTTTTTTTCCTCCGCGACTTGCACGCGCGAGTTGAGCCGTGCCGCGTCATGTGCACGTCCTTCGATAAACGTCGCGTGCAAACTCGAGAGCCATCGCGTGTGCGGAAAAATTTTCTCTGGCGCATAAACCTTTCCACCTCGGCATTCTCCCGTAATGCCCCCCGCGCGAGTTTTCCGCACCGCGTGCGCGCGTGATTCAGAATTCGCGCGGCTAACCGCGAATGTTTTTCGATTAGAACGCAACGCGCGATATCTAGCTCGCTTTAATTCGAGGTATGCGAAAAAATTCGCGGTGTCTGTAGTCTCCCGCGAGCGATATAGTGGGTTCGTTCGACCGTTTGTTCGAACGCGTGCAATTACACGTATTGAAACGAACCGCCAATCTGTCAATGCGGTTTGCGCGATTGTAACTCGCCTCACGTATTCATTATCGAATTCATTTCGGTTTGTAATAATAAATGTGACATCCTAAATTATAGTCAGAGAGAGAAAGAGAGAGAGAGAGAGAGTCTCATCGTCAGAGAAATTTTGTTATATATAAAACGCAAACGTCTAACGAAACATTTTTTAATTCGATTCGAAAAATGTGTATCCGCGTGAAGAGCCGAAATTATTTTTTCTCTTTGAATTTTCTCTTATAAATATATAATATTCGGGAGCAACATTTTTTTGCAATTTTACTTTTCACCGGTGAAAACGCTTTGTTCGCCTCCCGATTGAATTTGTAATTTTTCCTCAAAAAAAAAAATAAGTGCACAATTTTTTTATGTTTCGGTGATTTGGCAAACCCGGTTGCATTTTGTTTTAACTCTCAATGTGTGGCGAGCGAGCGCGAGCGCTAAAATAGATGGATGTTTATAACTGTTTGTCGTCCATTTTCACCGCACTATTTCCACCCGTGTGACCCGGAAGACACACATTTCGTATGCGGCGTAGTGCTTCTAATTACGCGATAATTATTTGATGCATTATATTGTGTAGTGCGCTCACTTAGCTCTCTCTCTCTCTCTCTCATTTGTTTATTTAGTATACGCGAAATTAATTTACAACGTGCTTAATAATGTTTTTCTGCACATTTCATCCGTGCATTAATTTTACATTATCGAAAAAAACATAAAACAAAACGTATAAAATGTCTGCTATTCGTTCAACGAGTTGTTTGCGCAATAATATTGATCGATCAATTAGTCGTTCCGTAATAACCCTTGATCTCTGAATCTTTTTCATTTGATGAACTTGAAGTGAACGTAATTCGATTGTTTTAATATTCCGCAATTTATTTATCGCGTCGGATCCAGCAAGTCTTTGACGGGAGCAAAGTTTTCAAATCTCACACACGTCGTCTTTCTCATTGTTGCAATCTTTATTTTTTGTTTTTGTTTTGAGGAAAAATCCGCTCAATGACGGATTTTCGCGTGACGGTAAAATTTCACCGACGGAATGTGTTGTTCGCGACCGACAAATTTCGCATCAATAAACACTCACGTATTCGCGGCGCAAGTCGCAGAAGCGACGACAGGAAAGCCAGACTCCTGAAGTGTGACATTCGAAAGGGACGGCGCGCGTTCATTCATCAAGTATCGAAATCCCCCGTCATAAAGTTTGACAGGCTCGTATATTGGAGTCGCGGCGCAAGTACTCGGCGCCGCACGCATACTCTCGCTTTTGATCTATTGTCAGCCGGCAGGCGCTCGCGATAACACATGTAATATCTTGTTCGGCAAGTTTACCAATCCAAGCTGTCAATCATCGTGCGCGCTGGCACGCGCCTCCACCCGCGAAACTCGTGTTGCAGCTGCGCCCACGCTCGAGATCAACAACTTTTGCTCATCTTGCGCGATGTAATCGCGCGATCGAGATTCTCGGTTCCTAATAATAAAAATTCTCGGCTGTATGACACACACGGCCGGTTTATTTTTAATACAAACAAGATTCTTACACGCGCGTTTTTATTTACATAACGTACAATTTTTTTTTTTTGTTTTTTTTTTCTATTCAACAGTCGACAATAAATTTTGCGCGTCGAGATTTTCTGAACTTTCGTTCCGTTTGCACGCGTCCGCGAGCGCAATAAATTTGCAGCACCACGCGTATCTTCTCTTCAGCCCCCGTTGATTAAATTAATGTTTTCGAATTCAAGCAGTTCGTGTTCGCGAGAAAGAAAGCTGTGCAAAAATCAACAAACCCCTTCGGCAACAGAAACCAACTCGCGAGTTTGCAGTAGAATTGCCCGAAACTTAACAAGCCTTCTTCTGGCCGCGCGCGCGGCGGACCCGTTTTCCACTCCCGCGGACCATCGAGACATCGATCGCGCGCCCACTTTCGTCCGGAAACGCCCGGACGAGCGCGCGCGCGCGCGCGCAACTCTCGCAGAGCGGAGGCCGCTTCCGGTGCCGGATGAAAATTAATGCGGCGCAGTTCGTCTGCATAATTAATTTACAGGGCGCACCCGGTCGCGGCGGTCGGCGCATTGGCCATCGACGTTATTTCAAACACAGCTGATTACTCTGCAAAATTGACCGCAAATTTCAATTATTTCCCGATAAACCCGTGCGCGACCCCGAGGCTATCTGTTCCGGCACGTACTATCTGCGCATTAACGCAATTACGCACGTCGACCGTGTCCGCCGCCGACACCGCCGCCGCGCGCCGTCAACATTTCGAGCCGACGTCAATTTTTCGATAACGGCCCAGGGTAAACGCGAACGATATAACGTTAACTCCGTCGGAATGAGATTTTCAATTTGCTCGTAAATTGCGGTCTTTCCGGGACGGGGGAGAACTAGCGAGCGCGTAATGCGCGCGATCGGTGAAATCCGCCGAATCGCCGTTGTTGTTGTGTTGTGTTGCTACACTACACACCCACCGGACTCTCGCGTGATTATCTTTATTGCCGCCGAATGTTGTGTTTGCGCAACGAGAGAGGATGCAGTCTATGCGCCTCCCGTCGTCATAGACTGCGCGAGAAACGGCAGTATCGCTCGTAACTGCTGTTATTGCCGAGAACGGTATTTCGTTCACGCCGTTTGTTCGTGCCGCGAAAAACGTTCTATATAACTCTACTACCGCCGCCTTGCGTGCATTAGAGATTATTCCTTTGCCGGGACGTGAGAGTTGACGGTCTCACGTGCGGAACGTCGCTCTCTTTGCAAATCTATATTGGCGAAACTGTGAAAAATGAAACGTCGCTCCGGGAAATACGGGGAAAAACGCATTTCGATCTCTCTCTCTCTCTCTCTTTCGCAAAATTGTTTCGAAGAGACGAGAGTTTCGTGTAAAAGACGCGAGTTTGCAGATATTATCGCGCCTTTATTGCAACGTCGGTTCAAATTTGAAGACGTCGTTTCGCCCATCTGGCTCTGGTTGTAATACGAGCGCGTTTTAGAGATTAATAGCAGAGCGAACTCTGTATTTTTGTTTATTTGTTTTTTTTTGTTTTTTTTTTCAGTTTTGCGTTACGTTGCGCTTCATTTTCCTCTCTCGGTTATTTCATCCAGAGAGGACCTAGTTGCGAGATTGCCGTTAGGCCGGAAAGTTCCTGCTTAGCGTTTAACGCGTTATACGAGCGATTAACCTACATTGTGAATCTAATTAGGGCTACGCAATTAAACTCCTACGTTATGTAGCTACTCCGAGAGATAATATTCAATGCAGCGTGGAGTATCTCTCTCCCTCTCTCTCTCTCTCTCTCCCCGCGAGGATAGAAGACGCGCGTGGTTTATTTAGGAATTAGCTATCTCGGTAACGCACGGGGAAAGAGGGAGGAAAGAGAGAATTCGAAACTTCAACCCCCCCGTCAACAATTATGTCTGTACGTTACACATACGCGCCACTTATCCTTTAATTAAACAGACGCTCTCTGTCCGTTTCCTCTGTTTACCGCGCAAATTCCGAATCTGATATAGATATCGGGCGCAAAACAATTAAACATTTAGTGGAAAACAATGCGACTCTTCTACTCAGAGACGATTTGCGCATTTCTGTTGCAGGTGAACATCCGGCGGCGATGCAACATGGCGGCAGTTGCGGGGTGACACCGACCATTCTGCTCGCCAGCATCACCCTCATAGTCGCGAATCTGTTGAGGTGAGCAGCCGCGTCGTGAATCGCGCGCCCTAAAGTAAATAATAACCGTTAATAGAAAGAAAGTTTATATTACACGTTTCATGGAAAAAAAAAAAAAAGAAAAAAAACACGACGACGTCCGAGTGTAAGAACGCGCGACGATCGATCATCAAAGCGGCGATCGCGGAACGCGCGCTCGAAGAAAAAAAAAAACAATCGCCCCCGGCCGATCTTTTCGTGTGTGCGCCGCGACACACGATCGCTCTCCGATTCACGCGCGTCGCTGTCTCACGCGCGCTGTGTGTGCACACAATTGCTCCCTCCGGTCTGTTCGAGACGCGACACAAGAGTCATCACAGTGGACAACAAAAGTGCAGTGAACTAGACCAAACCTCTGTGTGTGTGTGTGTGTGTATGTGTGAAGGACGCGGCGACGCAGTGGCGGACGATCTTTTTAGCACGTACGTTTTTAACACACGAAACTCACACACTCCTACTCGCCCTTTTTTTACACGAAATCATTGTGTTAAAATGTGCCTCGGCGAAAAGTGCCGGGCGATTGATACCCTTGCAAAGGTGTGCCCCGGCCGCATTTGAGTGCGTCGTTTCACCGAGAAAAATCTGTGCGCGCGCGCGCACTTTTGTATTGTTTATTAAAAAAAAAAAGAAAACAACAACAATCGACATGCGGCTCAAAACGAATGTGCGCGAAAGGTCACTTATACACTTTTAGCGATAAAGGAACTGCTCATTCTGCGATCTCGTCGCGGGAGAACGCACTCTGTTAGGATTTTTAATTTACTCTCGAGATAAAAAAGAGGAGGCCTCTCGTAAATAAATCATTCCACGTAATTGTTGAACGACGGCGCGCTTCTCGGCGGACGAATCGCAGATCGATCTCCGACGTTTTTTTTTTTTTTTTTTTTTTTTCAAATTGAATATATCGATGGCTGGATCCGTTCGATAGTTACGACGATGATGACGATTACATACACCGAATCTGAGTTTAAAATCCAACCGCGACACACACCGTGTCGCGAATCGGTTGCGTAATAATAATTTGTCAGACGCGAGACTCTTTGTACATATAAAAATATTGAGTGACGAGAACGTGTTGGGAATCGCCGTGATCTTGTTGTACAGTGCAATGCGCGTGATCAACGTCGTTCGATCTGGATATTATTTTATATATATATATATATAATGAATTAGAGACAAATACTTGTGTTGTTTTTGCGCTTCTCGGGCGCGATTTATCGTCTTACTCATGTTGAATAATTGTTTACGTCTCGGATTACATAAATTACCGATAATTTGATTCAACTTTCTTCGTTAAATATTTATTATTGCGAGAGAGAATAATTACTAACACACAGACCGAGAGAGCGATTGCTGAGGCAAAAGCTGATGCGATGTTGATACGTTCAGAGAACTGTGAGAATGACTTATTGAGATATGGATTATAAATTATGGATGAGATTATATTTTCAATGTTTGCTATGTCAATATTACGGCAAGATATTACTTGCGATGGAGATCGACGTAACTGTTTGTGCTTCATCTCGATTCAGAGATGAATAGAACCGTTCGAAGAATTGGAAGTTTCTATATTGGAGGAAATTTTCTTATTTATAGTTTATATATATTAAATACAAATTTTTATCGAACACGTTGTTGCAATTGCGCGAGTTTTCGCGAAATTTTTGCGTTAAGCGAGATAGATTAAACTTTAAATACAAATGTTATGCGATCTCTCTGTGGAGACAACGCGGTTATTTAATTATTTAATTTATTTTGAGATACAAAACACATGCGTTTTTGTATCAACAGAACGTGTGTTTTTATCTCATTGAGAAAGAGTTGATGTTTGCGTAAGCGGAAACCAATTTCCACACATAAAATATTATTACATTTTTTTGACAATTACTTTTGTGATACTTCAGTTAATTAATCTCCGCCTGCGCGAACGACTTGGTTTCTCACTTTGTACAAAATTTACGAAAAATTTTTTACATGTCGAAATAATAATAATTTGTTTCGAGCGTTTGCGAAAAGTGCAAGAAGCGATTAGATTGTATACGAGGTTATATATATCCGACGAAGATGGAGAACGAGAGGATTACGAGGACTGATCAGGTTAGTAATAAAAACGATAATAGATTGGATCTGTGTGTTCTCGATATGTTTCTGTTTGTTTCTCGCGGGGATTTTAACGCTTAAAAAACGATACACGCCGGATTCTTGCTTGTTTTGTATCTGTGTCGTTCGATAATCAAAATATACATATACGTGACGTAAAAACAATATTTCTCTTCTCTCCACGCACGAATACACACACGTGTAATTTTGCTTGCAGAAATTCGTTTACACATCCTGTTGTAAACGGCGTTATTAAAAAATTGCATCAAAATACTCTTCGGTCAATCAAAACAATACACAGTCAACGATCGCGGACAACGGACATTACATTAAAAACAAAAAAAAAGATATTAAACACGACGAGCTCGTGCATAGGTAAGTGAGAATATGAAAAGATAATACATATTTATATATATATATATATAAATATTTAAATAGGCCAGTAATAAGCGTTTGTTATGATAACATTGTCTCGATACGCGGAAAGTATACTTCAAAAAATTAAAGTGTAAATATAAAAAAACGGTTCTTTTGCAGAACTAAGACATTTGTTTCAGTTTCCCCCCCCCCCCCCGAAATTTCTCTTTGCGTATCGAATTATCGACGTCGATTTAAATCATCAATCTTGATCACTTTTTTTTTTTTAAATTACAAGGAACGTAGGGTTTAGATTTTTAACATTAGATTACATTGTTTTTTTGCATGCAAGATATCGCTCTCCGACAATTTTTTCACGTGTACAAAGCAACATTTTGGAGAAAAAAAACGAAAATGTGACTTACTGCGTTTTGCGAGCGAATCAAATAAGTCTTGTACATAGCTATCGCGCGATTCCATGCTGATAAAGAGTTTTGAATTAAAATACTGATATAAAAAGAGAAAAAATAAGAGATTTCAGACCACTCTCTAGTTTTTATTAAAATGTATTAAATTACACGACGGTCTTCCGATTTTTCTATGACAAATTTTTCCATTACATTCGTTTATACGCGCATTGCATTGAAATTGCATTAACTAATCAAATTTTCGACAAAGAACAATTTTTTTAAATCACTTTTCAATTACTTTCGTATAGCTGTTCATTTTTTTGTTTCTCGAGAGAAGAATACGAGAGAGAAAACAAAAACCCTGAAATCTGATCATTAGATAATCCAATGTACGTAATATAGGATATATTAGCGGTAAATCACTAGATTAGTAGATTTATTACGACGTACGGAAAAATGTATAACACGAGTAAAGAAATATATATCATAACGATTACTATGTTAAGGCGCGCGCAATTTATCTTAGTACCCATAGATTTTTTATAACAATGTAGCTCGAGGACAAAACAAAAACCCGACACACAAATTAGTATCCACTTGCCGTTGGTGAGATCGTCGAGTGCTTCTCGCGAGTTTATTTGTTGCCGAACGATCCTACGAGGTGACTCGCGCAAATTACGCGCAAAGAGGCGTGGAGAAAAATTAATTGATATAATAATCGCGCGCGGTGAACAAAGTAAAAAAAAAAAAAACGTCAAGGTTTTTCAATCAAAAACGTCGAACGATATATGTATATGCGGGAATCAAAATACAATCTGTAGGCAAACTCGGTTCAATCAAAAAGTTTTCACATTTTCGTGCGATTCGTTCATTCTCCGTTTCTGGGACTTCTCGAACGTACCTACATGTATGTATATTGCGCTGTGATTTTTCACAGCGCACGCGTATAAAGCTCAATCCTGTTATTCGATAATAATTTTGCTCTCTATGTACGCATCATACGAAAGTGATCAAACAGAAAAATATCGAGAGAAATGTATCTATTTGTGAATTAGATAACTGATATCCGCGCGATTCGCATAATTACGGAATGTTGCACTAACATAGGGTAAGAGACTAGACCGCATTGTACATAAAATTCATAATCGATGATGTATCATGTTATAGGGAAATTTAAGCATGAATCAAAAAAAAAAAAAAAAAAAAAANAAAATAAAACAAAACTATGAAAAAAAGCGAAAAGGCGAAAATAGAAATATTATTATTGTAAAAATATTCATCGACGTGAATATTGTTTCAATAAATGTAATGATGATATAAAAACATACAGACTTTTGTTTGCTTCGCTTCTCCTATTCGACTCTTCTCGCCCGGTGTAATTGTTTTTTCTCCGGCACGCACACACACACAGAGAGAAGAAGATAGTTCCAGCAGACAATATGTATTTTCGTGAGGAAAAACAGAAATATTAAAAATGGAATTTAAAAATCGCAATAATGGAGTAATTTAAATTTTCTATCTCTGAAAAAAATGGCGAGATCTGGATCGGACAATCAATATTTTTGTGAGAAAAACAGAAATTAAAATGGAATATAAAATCGCAACAAAAGAACAATTTGAATGTTTTATGTATAATGACAAAAGTTGAAAAAAAATTATCGGGGGCAACTGTTGTCACGAACCATAACCATTTGTTTCTAAATTTGCTCTTTCTAAAATTATCATAAGCTTTATTTTAAATTCTCTCTCTCTCTTTCTCTATTTCATGTCTCCTTTGTATACATGCGTATTTAAAATAATATATAATATTTCTCTTTATATAAAAACTGTGCGCAAAATAACGTTTTTTCACATGTGTACATGTATAAAAAATATTTATCTCTGTATTTAACGAATACGTAGCTTTTAATTAGATACGAAAACTGCTGGTTTTAATTGGTACGCGGGGTCCACATGTACCGATTTTTCTGACGCATACGTTGAACACACGTGTGCGCCACGACTAGTTTTATATGCGCGCGGAAAATAGCAGGCGGAAAAACAACGTTTCGCATATACGCGCATATTATCCAACGCGGACTCATGCGTGGTATAAGCACCTCCTCTTATTTACCATACGCCGCCGCGCACGCGACCGCTTCGAAAGTTGTGTCGCGCAGTTTCAAATTAACAAAAACTGTGAAAATATTTATAGTGAAGCTGCACAAGTTACTCTCAAAATTATGTCTTTAATGATCCTCTCGACAAATTCTGCGAGTTAATTTGCACTTCCACAACGTGATAAATTACGCAATAACAACAAATTTTATTATGTGAGCATTTCGTCTCGCAAATAAGTCGCACCCAAATGACAAGAAAAACAGATAACAGACGATAATCACACACATCCGTTGTATGTTTAACGGACGCGGTCAAAACGCGGAATTGCAAGCGCCGAAGAGCCATCGAGCGACTTCCGGACATTCGAGGGCAGTGAATTCTCGCGCGCTGTCCTGCAATTTTTCTTTCGCGGCGCACGTGTGCATGTGTGACGTTTCGCGCCGGCGAGGCACAGACGGAGAGAGAGAAAAAACTGCGTGGCGTAGTTAAACGCGCGCGCGGTAAACCCGGGCCATCTCTACTACGTGTGTACCCTGCTGTTTCCAACTTCGCCGCCGCGACAATTAACGAACGGGCCGACGTGCTGTCGCGCAATTCCCCGCCGGGTTGCCGCGATTGCGCCCAGTCAAAACGAGACTGCGAGAATTTCCGAAATCGAATGAACGTGGGACACAACGGGACACGCGGCGCAGCCACGCGGATCGACAGAAATCGAAATTGTCGAAGAACGGAAATGGCGTTCGATAAGCGTATATCTTTGCGGAAAAAAAAGCTTGCGACAGACCGAACGTTTCGGAATATTCGAGAGAATTTCGCATATGACGCAAATCCGGATTCTTCTTTTTTATTTATTTCTTTTGTTTTTTACTTTAGACGCGCCAGTTGACAGTTTAAATTTTAGCATGCAATTTCGCTTCGACACAAAAAACAATATTTTACACCGCGCGTTTTTCGGTTTCACATTTATAGTATCCCATAAAACAGGCGCACATATAGCAACATATATCATTACGACCCAAATACACACACACATACACGCACGCGCGCGCGAACATAAACGGCTTTTCTTGACAAGGACAAACTGCCGAACGTATTATCGCGGAAAGAACAAGGACATGCAAGGACCGCGTTTCTTCTTCAGCGAGTCGCGCAGTCAGTCCGCGTCGAAGATTTTCACAGCGTGAAATTGCACAGCTAATTTTCTCTTTGCAGCTGATGGAAAAAAAAAAAAAAACTAATTACTACCGCGAATGAAAATTGTTTTACCATTTCGCTCTGATTATCACTGAATTCAATTTCCATCGTAACGAATAAGCCATAGACATTTCTCGTTTCGCTAACCTCTCACAAAAAGCCAAACCATGATTTTCTCTCTTGACCATCGAAATACAATTAAACGATAAAATATCAACAAACACAGTTTGACGTACGGCTGATATTTTGTCGGGGCAAACCCGTTATTATCTCGTCGATTGTACGTCGCGAGAATTGGAACGCGCTCGAATTATTCGATCGGATGAAGGAATCATCAGTTTTTGTCGCGATATATCCATGTAAGTGTGTGCACGCAGGTTCATAGTAAGACAAGAAGCCAAAAGTAGAATAATATACAAAAAAGATCTCTTTTATTTCACAAACTCTTAGTATTTATAATAATTTTCGGAAAGAAAATTAAATCACAACGTGTTTATCTCTTTTGTTCTACCCGAGCGTTAACCTAAAATCGACGCACGGGCGATGTCATCATAAGAGATTTCTTGACTTTGTTTGATAAAGTCGAGATATTTGTAGACGCTGGTGTACACGTCAGATACTCCGAGCGCGCAAGGCAAGACCCAGGAAACGACACCGACCACTTCACCGTCGACAACGAGTGGACCGCCGCTGTCACCCTGCAAAAAAAAAAAATATATATTTAATTAAATATTTATGAAGGCGCAAATGACGAAGAGTATGAGAGAGAATCAACCCACTCGGACGGGAATTAATTTAATATCATTCGACGAAGTCGAGTGACTCGCGTGGTATCTCAGCGTTTTTTTTTTTTTTATTTTTTTTTTTTAACGAAGATATATGCATTTCTGAGGTATAATATTTTCTAGATTATGCATTATGCATAAGATTAAAGTATAAGGAACACTCACTTGGCAAGCACCTTTCCCAACTCTCTCCAGCGTGCATATTTGATTTTCATTGGTATGCGGATTTGTATGGCCATGTAAGCAGCGTTCTTGGCTCAGAACGTTTACGCTCAGCCATCTGAGTATCGGCGAACTCGTTCCGCCTATACTAGTTCTTCCCCATCCGCTCACGATACCGCGCTTATCGCCGTCAATATGATCCTTGCTCGCCAAAGGAATCGGACCCTGAACGTCGCTTATTCTGATCGGCAGTTCCAGCTAGACGAGCAAAACATTTGCGCAATAAGTTGTGACGTAAAATGAACAAGAGAGCATGTGAAACTATAATCGGCTCTCTGATTTTTTTTTTTTCACGCAGTTTTTTTCTTTCATTCTCTCTCTTCGCTGAATTTTAAATAACTCACCGTAATCACAGCGATATCGTCCTTCCAGCCGCTCTCACTCTCGCCGGTATAGTTCGGATGTATCGCAATGTACTTGATCTTGTATTTATCGCCGTTAGTTTCTAATGTGGTGATTCCAGTTGCGACAATCTGCAAAAAAATCGAACGAATTCTCAATCAGGCAAATGCAAGAATTATTACCCGCACAAAAGAATCATTTTGCGCTGTGCGAGCACAGCGTTCAAATCTGAAGTGAAAAGACTACTGTTTGAATTTTTCCCTCCAAAAAAAAAAAAAAAAAAAAAAAACAAAAATTCGACAATCAAGAGAAAATTTTTTTCATAGCTCGAGAAATTTCATTACGGTTCCGAAAATGGAATGTCGAATGAATGAAGTAGGTTTTTTTGATCCGAGTTTTTTTTTATCGGAATTGCAGCGCACAGCAATATCAGAAGTAATGTATTCAATTACAAAAATATTTTCTATACATGAATATAAAAGCCATTAGATACATCGAGAAAACATTCCAGCTGGATTCAGTTCGATTAAATGACAGAAATTTATTTTCTTTGTCACCGCGCGATTTGTCACGTACCATGTTGTCGGTGTAGAAGCTGTCGACTACGCAATGAGCAGCGGTAAGAATGTGTCTGTCGCTAATAATGGTACCTCCGCAAATGTGTTCGCCGAAAGACTGAAGAGATGCTTGATATTTGAACTGACCGGGCGTGGCCACGTCACCGCCGATGATACGCTCGGGCTCGTCGCAGTAAGCCTCTGCACAATTTGAAACAAAAAAAAAGTTTATTTATTAGCAAATTTATACTAGAGTAGAGATAGATAAAAGTATTTGGTTGTAGTAGAAAAAAATATAATAAGAAAATTAATTATATTTTGTTATTAATTATATTTTTCTGTCATTTGCCTGATAGCGTTCAATAATTATTGTTTAGTAGAAATATAGATGTAATCGTAATAATAGAAATAATATATATAAAACACACAAAAATATAATCAAACAAAATATAATCCGTAAACACAATTATTTTCACGCGGTTTTTTTTTCGCGCGTGTTGTCTTTATATTCGGAAGTTTGTTGCCAATTATTGAAGGTGTTTACTTACGCTGAGCGATAACGCCAACGGCGAGTAAAATAGCTAACTTCATCATCCTCACCGTCGCAAATCAATTCTAGATTCAATCACGAACTGAATGAGGAAGACCGTCCACGATATCCTTTTATATGTCGTATCTCTCGTACGTTCGGTCTCGCGACACTTGTCGCAACACTTGGCTTTGTTTGCATTTTTTGATCATGTCGCGTATTACGTTACTCGGTCAATTGTTAACGACCATCTGTGTGTATCTCGCGATACTTTCACGCACAAAAGAAGATACAAAGGAGACAAAACCAAGGTGAGACAATTATTTGACATTATTCAAATCTTGCGCTCGTTATTTGACATTATTCAAAACGTTTTTTGTTATCTAAAACAATATCTGCTTGAAAAATATTTGATCATTCAAGGATTGGATATATTTAGCGCGCGCTGTATGTCTTGTACAGAATTAGCTTTAGTTTAGTTTAATTTTTTAGTTTGAAAAAACCTGGAGAAAAGGCAATATCTGAAAATACGTTGCTCTCTCTCACATATACACACACACACACACGCGCGCGCGCGCACAAATGATTCTATCCGAAACCTATTATTCTCGTATAGTTTTTCTTGCGTGCCACATTTTATTAATATACTGTTCTGAGAATACGTGTGTGTGCGCATTTTGCAAACACCTTTCACGCAAGTTAATAACAAAAAACATTTACAGTGTGTTGAAACAAACACGTTGTTCTTGCGCTAGGAAAAAACTTAAGAAAAAAACTAGGAAAAAACTTTAAAAAAACGGTAGATTGTAATTTTTAATTTCGAATGTAAAATACAAGCGAAATATACATGATGTGTGTGAAATTCAATTTCACTGAATTTTTTTTGTCGAAAAGTCTCCGTTTCTGCAGATGTTTCCGAGAGCGATGATTTGTGCAAACGCGGTGCGTGCGAAATGAACTTCGGCGGATCGATCAACGAGTTTTTGTCGATCGCACTGGTCTGTTCACGAGACAATCGCGGGTGTTACGACGAAACACATCTCGAATGCAAATTTGAGGAAATTTTACAAGATACGAATTTATCGAAACTAATACTAAAATGTACACGTAATGTTTCAATGATATTTTCGCGCATTGTCATTGATTGATGAATCAATTTGTAATCGTCGAGCTGTATATGAAAAAACTCTCGCTCAATCACCGCGTAATAAAAAGCAACACGCGAATTAAAATGTACTTTTGTCCGATGTGCGCGCATGTGCTACTTGTGTAATAATCACATTGATTTGTTAACGTCACTGTCTCTTAAATGCGGAAAGAGAGAGAGAGAGCTTTAGACGATGTAATTAATAAGCACTGCTGGTGCATTGCGAGATGCGCGAAAACGCATATAAAATATTCCTCTTCGTGTGTACAGCTGGAGATGACTGGCGCGCTCTGCTGCCAATGTCTTTATATTATCGCGTCCTAATTTGACGGGATCGATATCCGGCTGCTTAATTGCGTAGCATAGAATTGCGCATCGCGCGCCGCTGCAAATTCGCGCGCGCGATGTTCATTAAAAAAACCACCTTCTTATCAGTTTTTTTGCTGTTCGTTTCGTGTACACATTTTTTTCAACTTGTCATTATCAAAAAAGAAACCTACTCGTTATCGAGATATTTGTTCGCAATGATGTAAAACTTGTGCAAATACAAATCGTGCAACGAGTCTCTGAACAATCTTTCTTGTTTTCTCATTTTTCGTAATTTTTAATTAGACTAGCACAACACAGGCGCACGCTATTAATATTTTTTATTTTAACGTGTTGTATCAGTGAACACTACCTGTCACCGCGATGACAGTTAGTATATACGTCTTACAAACTATATAATACACATGATGTACATATGAGAGATATCAGAAATAACGCACAAAACTCAAACTCAAAAAATAAAAGAAAAAAAGAAGAATGACAAAACAACACGTGACTAAAGTCTGTGACTGTATTTTAATTCGCATGTCTTTAAAACAACGTGGCCGAGGTCAGTGCCCCGCCGCGGTCGCGTGACCGGGTCAGTGCCCCGCCGCGGTCGCGTGGCCGAGGTGAGTGACCCCGCCGCGGTCGCGTGACCGGGTCAGTGACCGCGCCGCGGTCGCGTGACCGAGGTCAATGACCTTAGCGTAGTATATATAATACATATAACAAAATATAAGGTATAATATTATAAATATATAATAAATAATATATGTAATACATAATATATAATATTATTATTTTAAATATTAGTATATATATTATATATTATATATAGTATACATAATATATATTTTTAGTCACGTAACTGTAGTCACGTGGTGTTTTTTCTTTTTTCCTTGTCGCGTGACTTTAAAAAACGCAAGAATAATTTTGTTTTTTAGTGTTTTGCTCCGAAGCGATTGAGACTAAAATCAACCTTGGCGCTAAGCACTACCGTGTGTCTTGATATGTACGACATGAATTGAGAAACACATCCTCGAAACGTCCAAGCAGCGTCGAGATAAAAGTGGCAACAATCAATATCGAGAGAATCGATTGTGATTATTTACACACGCTTTTTCTGGTAGAACTAGCAGACAGCGCGCGCTACGCGCGCGCTTTCATTTTCTTCGGATTCAATTCAAAACATTTATTATTCCAGTTATCATTTTTTTGGTTTATTTATAAATAAAAAAAAACATTTTTATACTGTTTATTCTCTTAATGTTATACCTATATTTCTTCTTTTCTTATCTTTTATTCTAACTCATCAATTTTCTTCTAAAATAGAAGCAATTGCTTTTTCCTCCTATACTCTTATTACGTTAAACTCACCTTTTAAAA